AGTCTTCATTTTGATTAATACTGCTACAGATATGCTATATTAGAATAGAAAATGAGAGGGTAACTAAATTCATGTGATGAAACAAGTATAAATAAACAAAAACTGTATATGAAGAAACAAAATTAAATAGAAAACATATGTTTTGTGATGCTGTTTGAGTTACAAATTACATAACAAAATTAATATTTATGTCAGACTTTTTAAATGCCAAAATGCGAAGTGTAAAATTTTAGGTATTTAAAAAATTTCTGAAATTGTTTCACAGGGAGATACTTCATGCTGTCCTTGTATCTCCTCTACATTTTTGAATTTTAGAGAAAGAAACCAGAAGTTGTTTCTCGGTGCTATGGCTATTAAAACTTAGAGTTGCTTTTTCTTCTAAGCATCCTGACCATCTTCCTTCTTTTCACACTCTAGTCTTGTTGGGTGCCTTGTTCTGTTTGGGAAGATACTTGTTTCTGAACCTCTGCTTGTAAACTGTTTCTTCACTCGGGTCTGTAGAGATTAAAATACTGATCATGTCTGTTGGGAACACACCCCCATGCAGCTCTTTTTCCCTGTGGAATACATATAAGAATCTGACTTTGTTCTGCCTCTTTTCTACCCTTTCAACTGAATTGCAGAAGTTGGAAATAAAAGGTGGCTCCCACCCATACCCCGCTTCTCTCCGGGGCAGGTCTTTTGTTCTTAACTCATGGAGGGAGAGACTGTTTTGGTTTTTCCCTTTGTGAAATTATATGGTAGAAACTTTTATGCTTTTGTGTAGTTAATGACAGTATAATAGTCTTAAATGAATTTACTTTTACTATGGTTAGTGACAGTTTAAAAGTCTGAGATGAATTTACTTTTAAGATGCTAGATCTAAAAGAAAAAAATACAATAAAGCCAATTGTAATTATTCCAAGAGAGTTACTTTCAAATTACTTTTTAAGACAAACAAGACATTCTACTAAACAGAGAAAGTACTTCTTTTAAAACATCTCTAATAAAGACGTTTTTAGAAGTTCAGATACAAGAGCCTGCAGCTTCAAAAGCTTAATCTGTGTGCCATTCTTATGGCCAAATCCTTTCTTCAGAAACAGTCCCAAGCTCCAAGTACCCTGTATGTACTTAGCCAATGTGTTATTTGCACCTACAAAACACAGCATGCTCCTCCTGGAAACAAGTAACTATCTTCCTGTCACATGTTTTCCACAGCATATGACATTAGCAGCATGCAGCTGCTCTCTGGGTCTGCTGTGAGCCTTGCACATTCAAAATCTTCAGCAGTATAAAGAACCTGGTGTCTTTAGAAAACTAGTCAGCATTGATTAGCTTTAAAGACGTTAGAGCTATGTGTGGCAATCAGGTGGGAAATTTCAAACTTACTTGCTTAAACATAGTATGCATTTTATGTAGATATATGGAAAATATTCAGGTGTCTTCAAATTATGTCACTTTTGTAAGATGCACAAGAAATTTAAGGACCTGGTGGCAGCTTTCAAGTTTCATTTTTTTAAAATATGTTCACTTTATATTTTGTGTATGCTATCATAAATCTCATAAACTAGGTATACAGAAACACATTCTTCCAAATGAGAAAATACTAAGATTTTCTTCTTTAAAATCTGGAACTTGCAGCTTGATTTTTATAAATGAATTTTTTCCTTGCATATGATCCAAAAGTTACGAAATCTGCCTCCAAATTTCTCAGTGCTGTCATTTTGATATGTTCACAGAGTTGTGCAAACACTCACTGAGTTTAGAACATTTTAATTACCACCCCAAAGAAACTCAATACCCACCAGCATTCACTAACATTGCCCTCGTGACTACCATTTGTAAACAAACTACGTTTTAGTTTCTATCTCAACAAACATGTCTGCTCTGCACAGGTTATATAAGTAGAATTTTACAACATGTGTTCATTTGGATCTTTTCTCACTTAGAATAATGTTTTCAAAGTTCATCTTTGTTGTAGCATGTACTAAGATATCATTTTGAATGGTTGGATAATATTACACAGTATGGATATGCCATATGTTATTTACCCATGGATATTAGTTGATGGATATTAGGCTTATCCACCAAGTGCTTTTTGACTGTTAAGAATAATGCTCCTATGTGCTGTATGAAAAAAAGTCTATATTCAATAAAATGTAAAACCCAGATTATGGTTAAAACCTAAATGAAAAAAGAAAGAAAGAAAGAAAAAGAGGAAGAGGAAGAAGAGGAAGAAGGAGAAGGAGAAGAAGACTGCTGTGGAAACTTTTAATGTGTGTGTTTTTCAGTTCTCTTGGGTATGTTTAGAAGCACTGAGTCATGTGGTGTGTTAATGGTTTTTCTGGGCACTGGGACAAAATAGCTGAACAAAGCAACTTCAGGAAGTTTCAGAGAATTCGTGATGTAACTCATGGAGACAAGAGCTTGTAGGAGGAGTTTCCTCCCTTCTCTGAAAGCCCAGGAAGCAGAGAGATTGGACATGAACCTTACATGGGTATTACCTTCAAGGACCACATCCAGTGGTCCACTCTACTGTGTAGCCATAGTCCCACAGTTTCTACAATCTCCTACAGTAGCATCACAAGCTGGAGCCCGAGTATTCAAACCCACAGGCAAAAATAGATTGCTGTTCCTGTCCCAGCCATGAGTATTCCATCTTCCCCACATCCTCCCCAGAACTGGTTCCCATCTGTCTTTTCCTCAGAGCTGCTTTCGTGACTGTGAGGTAGCAGCTCCTCATGGTTGTGATTTACATTTCCATAATGACCAAGGACAAAGGACATGTATTAATATTTTCATGTTCTTACTACTTGTTCTATCTTCTTTAGAGAAGTATCTTTTGAGTCTTGCTCTTCCATTGTTTTTTGTTATTGTTGTTGTGGGTTTTTTTTTTTTGGTTTTTGGTTTTTGGTTTTTGGTTTTTTGAAACAAGGTTCCTCACTGTGGCTTTGGAGCCCATCCCAAAACTTGCTCTGTAAACCAGGCTGGCCTCGAACTGACAGAGATCCACCTACCTCTGCCTCCCAAGTGATGGAATTAAAACCATGCGCCACTACCTGGCTGAATTTTATTTTTATTATTGAGTTGTTGGAATATTTTGTATGTGTTAAACACTGTACACTTGATTTTAGCATCTTGGTCTTGCGAATTTTCTGGGTTATTCAGAATTTCAGTCACCATGACAGACACCTGAGATGAGTTTAAAAGAGGAAAGAATTATTTTGTCTCTGAATTTTATGGCCTCAACCCAAGGTTGGTTGTAACCATTGCTTTATGGCGAAGCTATATCAGAATATTATAATGGAGGAGAATGTGTCAGAGGCTTTCACTGCATGGCAGTCATAACACAGAGAATGTCTGTGGTAAAGGGCTTACTCCTCTTTTAATTTTATATGGACCCCAGCTTTTGGGTGATACTGTTTGCATTCAGATCTCCCTCACACTCACACTCAGAAGTGCAGTTTACTAACCTGTTAAGTATCTAGTTGAAATTTGGTGTCATAGAGACTGAGGAGATGTCTCTGGGGTCAAAATGCTTGCCATGAGAGTATGAGGACCAGATCTTGGATTCTCAAAACCCATATAAAACATGGGAAGCAGAAAAATGACAAGATCTTCTGAGTAAATTGGGAGCATGGGGACCTTGGGAGAGACAGGGAGGGTAGCAGAGAAAATTGTAGAGCTCAATAAAAATCAAAAAAAGAAGGAACAATTAAAAAAAAGAAACAAAAAAGACTCTTTAGACTTAAATGATAACCAAAAGAAAAAAAATGCTGAGTAAATGTAGCCTGCCTGCCTGTTATCCTAGAACCTCGGGAGGCAGAAAAAGGTAACTGTTAGGTGTATGCTAGATAGATTATATGAATCGGCAAGTTCTGGGCTCTTCATCAAGAGAACTTGACTCAGTAAATAAAGCAACCACTAGATAAAAATACCTAATATCAACTTCTGACCTCCATATGTACATTTACATGACATGTGCAGTTGTATATCCACATCCATGTGTGCCCACACATACATATATGTGGACCCACACATGCAGACATAAATATATAGATTAACCATCACAAATAACTGTTTATTTTAGTGCTATAAAGATAATAAATTTCCTTTTCCTCTGACAAAATAATCAACATTTCTTAATAGCATTACAAATATTTCTTGGTTGTTTTACTGTTTTTTTCTATGCAATTTTATGCATAATCACAGGGTTAAATATTCTGTGCTTTGTATTTGGACGGATAGAGGGGAGGCCCAGTGTTAGTCAGTAATTATAGAGCTGAGGGAATTTGAACTGGTTTCTTGCCACACATGTGGATCTTGTCTATAACCTTGATGGGTTTCAGAAGCTCCCTTGCCTTCTTTACATGAGTTCATTTCCTGGTTATTTGTTGTGGGATTCCCCTCTTCATGCTGTGATTACCATTGGTTAATATAGAAGCTGTCTTGGGCCTGGCAGGGCAGAATAGATGTAGGCAGGGAAAACTAAACTGAATGCTGAAAGAAAGGTGGCAGAGTCAGAAAGACACCATGTAGCCACCAGAAGGGAAAGATGCCAGCTGCCAGTGGGCCTTGCCAGTAGACCACTAGCCTCACAGTAAAATATAAAATACTGGAAATGGGTTAATAATATATGTAAGAGCTAGCTAACAATATGCTTATGTAATTGGCCAAGTAGTGATTTAAATAATATAGTTTCTGAGTGATTATTTTGGGCCTGGGCAGCTGGGGACGAACAAGCAACCTCCTTACTACAGTTATTCTTGGTTGTGACAGCACTGTCACTAGCCTGAAGAGATTATGTCAATTTGCCACATTAGGATTGTCCAAACTACAAAAATGTAATCTTTTAAATGACGTAATTATTAAACTTAGGTTTGCACAGTTTTATCAAAGCTAAAAGTTATATTCATATAAAAAGCAAATCCACACATACATCAGTAAAAGTCTGGGTCAACATGTAAGTGCTTTGGATAAGTTTTCGCCCTTAAGGTAATCTGGTGATGCATTTTCTCAAGTCCTCACACAGGTATTCAGGAATATCAAGATGGTGTGCCCAAGATCCCAACAGCCTGTATTACAGTGGAAGATGCAGAAATGATGTCACGAATGGCTTCTCGTGGGAACAAAATTGTCATCCATCTGGAGATGGGAGCAAAGAGCTACCCAGATGCGGATTCCTTCAACACTGTAGCAGAGATCACTGGGAGCAAGTATCCCGAGCAAGTGAGTGACGGGGGAGGACTTCTGGTAGAGGACGTTCTGGTCCGGTGGCCATTTATAGAACAGTTAGGAGAGAACATGAATCTGTTAGGATGGCCCTCATAGACTCATTAAAACCTGAAGCTTCATATATTTTTCCCATTAATTAGTTCACCACACTAAAGAATGTAAGACAAACTCAAGGGCAGAATAAGACCCACAGCATGGAAAGTCAGTCTGAGCGGAAGAGAAAATTGTGTGTATTCCTTTTAGAGCTAGAAATCATCCCAGCAATTGATACTGTGTAAATTTTATGAATGTTTTTAAGAATCATTTCAAAGTACAATCATGTAGAATCTAGTTTCTTTATTATGAATCAAGAAAACTAGCCCAGATGGAAACTACTTGTCTAGGTCTGCACAGAGCTACAAAGTGTCTGCAAAAGAACCAAGCTCAGAGAAATACAAATTCAAACCAAGCTTGGTCCACAGCTCAAGTGAGGATTCCAGATTTCATGTGAATTTCAAATGATTTTAGAAGCATATTTACACTAACCAAATGTTAAATAATGGGTTATTTTTTCCTGGACTTTAGAGAACTTATCTCCAAAGAAACTGGCATGTTACTGATCTTTATAAAGATATTTGTCACTATCAGAATTAGTGTGGGAAACAGATGAGACAGTGTCTATCAGAGAGCTTGTATGTGTTGGGCACATCATAGGCACTCACTGAATTTACATTTACTTAATATGATACAAAATATGTAATTTTTTATAGATATTCTGATATAAATCTTTATTAGTAACAACTATAATTCTGAGAATGCAACTTAAGTTATTCAGAATTTCAGACTTGTATTATTCCTGTGGCTGTGAGGTGAAGGAAAAGGTTAGCAGTTATGCCTGGTGATGAAGAAGTGAGATTTCTGCACGGGTCTGGATGTCGCACTTCTGTGCTCCAGTTAAGACTCCTTTAAGGTTAGGACCCTTTCTGTGCTTCTCAGAGCCTAGAACCTGGGCATCATTATTCGTGGGGTTATGACAAAAGCAAGATCTCACCACCACAACAAGCCAGTTAGCCATAAAGAAACTGAATTTAAATGTTGATAAAAGAGCAAGTCTGTCTTCTTGTCCTTTTGGGAAATTGGTCACAGAAGAATAGTTAAGACCTGTATTCCAGCAAAGAGTTATCAGGTCCCTTACAATATAACCTTCAATGGGGTTGTATTAGCAACCTTCTGAGCTAGGCAGCAGAATCTGAACCTCAGGGAGGCAGTGGGAGTGTAAGAAAGGAATCCTCTGTAGCAGCTATGATGTGTCAGGGTCTAAGGTGGGGTGTCAGACAGAGGAGGTTTGGGGAGACAGAGATTGTGTAAGGCAGTGGGAGTGTAATAAAGGAATCTTCTGTAGCAGCTATGGTGTGTCAGGGTCTAAGGCTGAGGTGTTAGACAGAGGAGGTTTGGGGAGACAGAGATTGTGTAAGGCAGTGGGAGTGTAAGAAAGGAATCCTCTGTAGCAGCTATGGTGTGCCAGGGTCTAAGGTGGGGTGTTAGACAGAGGAGGTTTGGGGAGACAGAGATTGTGTTTATCTCAGTTGCTCTGGCAACTCCCAGGAGGCCATGGACATGTCCAGCTGGGACAGCTGGAGCATCTTTCTATAAGGAATAAATTATCAATTTAAATAGGTAGTTGAATGAACTCTGAAAACATATGCAGTAATCATTACTACAACCATGGTAGAGACTGTTTTCATCATACACAAGATTCCCTTGGGCCTCTTTGTAGTCCATTTCTTTCTCTGTCTCCTTTCTCACTAACAAGCAAGGCTTTTCTACTTTCAGTTACGGGGAGTGGAGGAAGCCCTGAGTAGAGAAGTCCTGAGTGTGTCTTTATTTAGCATGGCCATGTTAGGGTCCCTAGACTTAGACTCAGGGAAGTGACAAAACCCCTTCCCTAGCTGGTGATGCCCAGGGAAATGACAAAGCCTTTCTCTGATCCACGTGAGGGTGTTAATAGTATATGAAGAAAATGTCCACCATATCTGTCCTCTCTTAGATTTTTATTACCTGCTTCCTTACAGAGACTGCTCCTACTAAGATTGGTTAAACCTGTGTCCTTGCTCCAGATTTTTGCCCTAAACCCCTTCTCCTTGTTTATCTGTGTGTAATAACCCACCTCCTTATTCAGCTGTATGCAACAACCCCACCTCCCTGTTCAACCCTATATAGTAACCATAGGGAGCTTCCAGGATGTTTCAATTCCTCCATTAGAGAGCCTGATCTACCAGATTCCAGATTTTCTGCATGTCTCTGTGTGTGTCCTTTCCTCATCTCCCCAGTCAGATCCATCCCTGGACATGGCATGCCATGCTGGACATGGCATGTAGCTATGGTTTTATGTCTAGAACTTCTCATGTAAGTATACAATCTGCCTGGCTTCTCTCACTCAACAAAATATTTTTGGGACTTGCTCGTGTTTCAGCTGATTCTTCTTTTATGTCACTGAATAGTGTTTATATGAATCTGATCATTCTGTAGCTTCTCAATCTATATTTGTTTTCATTAAAATTAAGAGAGTAAGTAAAGGCAGAAATGGTTGCAAGGATTTTCTTAATTTTCATCTTTAAATTTAGAAAACATCTGCCTTTTCAGAACATTGTGATTGTCTTGGTTTATTTGTACTCTGTAGTGTGCAGGATATCCTTGGATGTAGCTCATCATGTTCAAACCTAAGCACATCAACTCCACATCCCTCATTCATTGCCCCAGTTTCTTGCGTCTGTTGAATGAGCTATCGACACCTATCAGCACAGGTGTATTTTATTTAATATAAATATGTGGGGGGGGGAGGTGTGAGAACAAGTGTGTGGGTTCCTTTGGAGACAAGGAGAGGGTGCCTGATACCTTGGAGCTACAGTTACTAGGCAGTTGAGAGTTTCCCAGTGTAAATGCTGAGAACCAAATTCAGGTTCTTTACAAAAGCAGAATGGGTTCTTAACCACTGACCCATATTTCCAGATCTTAGGCTACAGGTTTTTGTTTTGTTTTGTTTTTTGAAGATGACTATTTATTCATTTATGGTTTTTCGAGACAGGGTTTCTTTGCATAACCCTAGCTGTCCTGGAACTTGCTCTGGAGACCAGGCTGGCCTCAGACTCAAAGATCCTCCTGTCTCTGCCACCCTGTGGCCTGATGATAATTTTTCTTTTTTTTCTTTTTCTTTATTTAAAAACATCTTTTTTCATTTTACATATCAATCCCAGCTCCCACTCCTTCCCCTCCTCCTGTTCCTTTTACCTTCCCTTCTCACCCCCATTCACTCCTCAGAGAGGGAAAGGCACATTTGCTTTGAGGAAGGACCAAGGTCCTCCCTACTGTATCTAGTCTGAGCAAGGTATCCCTCCAAAGAGAATGGGTTTCAAAAAGCCAGTACAAGCAGTAGGGGTAAGTCCTGGGTCATGGGTCACTGCCAGTGGCCCCACAGACTGCCCCAGCCATACAACTGTCAATCACATTTAGAGGGCCTAGTTCAGTCTTACGCTGGTTCCTTCCCTGTCAGCCAGAGTTGGCAAGCTCCCATTAGCTCAGGTAAGCTATTTCAGTGGGTGTCCCATCATGATCTTGACCTCTTTGCTCATAGTCTCACTCCACCCACTCTTTGATTGGACTTTGAGAGCTCAGACCAGGGCTTCACTGTGGCTCTCTGACTGTTTCCATCAGTTGCTATGAGGTTCTATGATGACATTTAAGATATTCATTAATCTGACTACAGGGCAAGGCCAGTTTGGGCCTCCTCTCCACTATTGCTTAGGGTCTTAGCTGGGGTCATCCATGTGGATTCCTGGGAATTTCTCTACTGCCAGGTTTTCTTGCTAGCCCGATAATGACTCCCTCAATCAAAATATCTCTTTCCTTTCTCTCCGTCTCTGTCCTTCCCCCATTCTACCATTGTGTTTTCTTAAGTTCTCCTCCTGCCTCCCCTTCCTCCCTCCTCCTCACCTTTCACCCTCTTTTCTCCTCCCCACCCCCATGCTCCCAATTTTCTCAGAAGATCTTGTCTATTTCCCCTTCCCAGGGGATCTATATATGTTTCTCTTAGGGTTCACCTTGTTACTTGGCTTCTCTAGTCTCATGGACTATAGGCACATTATCCTTTACTTTACAGCTAGTATCCACTTATGAGTGAGTACATACCATGTTCATCTTTCTGGGTCTCAGTTACATCACTCAGGATGACTTTTTCTAGTTCCATCTGTTCCCATGCAAATTTCAAGATGTCATTGTTTTTTACCACTAACTATTACTCCATTGTGTAAATGTACCACATTTTCTTTATCCATTCTTTGGTTGAGAGGTTTCTAGGTTGTTTCCAGGTTCTGACTATTACAAATAATGCTGCCATGAACATAGTTGAACAAATGTCCTTGTAGTATGATTGATCATTCTTTGGGTATATGCCCAAAAGTGGTATGGCTGGATCCTGAGGTAGGTTGATCCCCAATTTTCTGAGAAACCATCGTACTGATTTCCAGAGTGATTGTACAAGTTTACATTCCCTCCAGCAATGGTGGAGTGTTTGCCTCTTAGGCTAATTTCTCAACCTTCCTTTTGTTACTGATGATTTACAGTCAGGTATGATATTCTGTTCAATCTACATTCAATGTATTCTAACTGTGTTAACACAGCCTCTTCCCACCTTTCCTTTGCACTTTCACTGTCCTCCTCCAGACCTTACCCATTTCTGTTCTGATTTCTTCTTCTTCCAGCTTCTACAAACCTCCTTTTTGTTTTTATTTGTGAAGCTCAAGGCTGCATGCAATGACAATGATCGCAAATATGGTGTTTGCCTACTTAGGCAGATTTCTCCTACTCCTTATTGGACAAAAGTTGTTACGAAGGTGAATGTTACAGGGAATAACCAGAAATGGTTGAAATACAGATACCAAGAAATGGAGAATGAGGGAAATGTGGGAAGACAATTAGGCCTACTAAGAACTGTTCCTTCATATCTCGGTGAGGGACGT